GACGACTTCGGACTAGGTGCGTTCTACATGGTCTCCCTGAAAACAAGACCAAGTTGCGACAACGAGGTCATATTAATCCCTTTTATTTTTTTCCAGGCTTAGTTTTACTTAACTTGATCATTAAAAATGCATTTGGAATTAGTTTTGGGAATTTTCATGATTTTTCTATTGACTTCTCCTGCAGCTACTTGCATCTGCAAACAACAGGGGAGCAGGGTTCTCGTATTTTACTGCCGCCTAGTATCTGGCGTCGCCTACGACAGCCGCGACCTGGTCAAGACACTGCGTCTTCACACGAGGTATTCGATGAGTCGCGTGGAGCAACCTCCATTGCGGCCATTACTATAAATACTACGTCTTCTGTCGAAAAACCTGTTGCCGATCCGCCCAATCTTACTAGTTCCACTTACGAATATACCGAGACTGGTGGTGTAGTGGAGTCGTTTGGCCATGTCCGATATCCCACACCACTACCGCGAGTTGTGCGTCGGTGGATAAGCATTCTTGAGTGTGCCGTCTTCTTTAAACAGGTCATAATCCCTATTTACATACCTGAAGTTTTAAAGCCTCTTTTTTATATTTTGGTCATAATATTGCCATTAATTAAAATCGTTCTCGTGCAAGTGTCAAGGTAAAGTCAATCTCTCTATGTAGGCTATGCAACTAAGACTATCCCGCTATTTGCGTAACTGTAGTCTTCTTCAATAACATTTCATTTCATTTAATACAAATTTACTCATTCCTTTAATCACCCTAAGAGACCTATTGTGACTAATGTTCTTATTTTCGAAGTGGGTTGTCCTAATCTCCGCAACTGGGTCTTGTTGTTAGGGCGACTTAGTTGGGTACAACTTGTCCTAAGTCCTCTGCCATAGTAGTTATCGTAATTCCAGACGTCTCGCCGGCATCGTAGTCGGCATCATCAATGAATCTTGCCGTTCTCAGCACCAAACTAGAACTCGCCAAAGAGACAAGTGAAGTCAATTTCTTAAACAACTTTCTGCCGAAACTTTTGTGCTATTATTTCCTCTTCTATTCTGGCTCATCAATCTATTCCTTACTGTCTTATCTCACTTCTGCCCTATCAAAACTTCTGACTTGTTTACATTCCACTCGTCAAATGGTGTGTCCTTTTTGGTAAGCTTAGTGTGGCCTCATCATACCTGCCTTGCTCCCCTCTCTTTTGATGTTCTAATCCGACTTGGGCCTTCTATCAGGATCTCCCTCTTGGTCCCATAGATCCATTTCTTATCTTTCTAGTTTACTGATTTCATTCGGTTTCAGTTCCATTGTACGTTTTACTCCAGGCACTATTTCTCAAGCCTTATCATTGACCAGTCATCGATTGGATCTGAGAAGAGCAAGACTCACTGATGATGGCGGCGAAAAGTCTGAGAATCTACGAAGTCCACTGTTTGACGCTGGGAATTATGATATCTACTATGACAGAGGGCTTCAGACAAGG